TGGAGTTTGTTCTTCAATCATCATATTATTTGGCCAGGGTCTCTTTGCAGGCCTTTGTATTGTTGATGCTTGTCGTTTTTGAGCCGAAGTATCGACGTCCATCGGTACTGGTCGGTATGGTCTCTGTTGCATCATTTGTCCAGGAGATGAAGCGAATCTCGGTGGTGCTCTTGGTACGGTATGAGCAGGTGGTATAAAATTACTCCGTTGTTGTGGTACCATAGAGATTTGTTGTCTCTGGAAAGGTGCTAACGGCCTTGTTTGTGTCGGTGCATGATGCCATGCATACGAGGGCATTGGTCTCGTCGTTGGTAGAGTCAAAGGTTTATGAACGTCCAGGTAACGTTTCTTCTGTAAATTATAATTTTCTATCTCGGATGTGTACCCCTCAGCTGTTTCGATGTCATTGGGTTGTCGCATCTTAACTTCTAAACCAAGTCTGTCATTGATCAGGTCTAATCCGAACAAAAATGTACGGAGAGCTAAAGAATTATATTGACTTATTTTCATATGACGGATATTTATGTCGTTTTCCCCCAAATTAATCTTCGATAGCAAGGTATACAGAGTAGCTTTAATTTTGTTAGCATATTCGAGCGATGACTCGTTCTTTAATGGTCGAATATTGTTCAAGTCATAAGCCAAAACATCCTCCGATCTCTTATCGCCAAAGCTGTGGACCAGTATCGCCTTTAATTCCGGCCATGATGTTGGTGTACGGTTGGCATCCACTGCTTCACGTGCCTTTCCTTCGAGTTTTCCCATGAAGATCATCAACAATCTCCGTGACATTCTCTGATCATTCGGGTCAGGAGTCAAAAATTCCTCGATCAAATATTCACAAGCATTCACATAACTGCGTAGAGTCATACGATCTCCCGTAAATACTGGAATAAGATTTTGATCGACAGGTTTTATCTCTAACTGTCTTTCTCTATTCATGTCTGTGGCTTTCTCTATTTCTGTGATAGCCTCGAATAAGTCGTTGAATTTTATCTTCTCAATTTTGGTTGGTAATCCAAGTACGTTTAGGTGTCAATTACGTGTAATAAGATCCTTTGTATGTGGGTGTTTATGTTTGGTTCCCGTGGGAATAAGAAAGGATCCGAAAATAATGAAAAAGGTACTTACAGTGATAGTAAAATAATTTTCATTCGGTTTGGGTTTTTCTTTGTTTCTTTTCTTCTTTTCCGATTGATCCAGGGGTTGTGGCGATTTAAGCTACGTCCCTCGGCTGAAGCAATCTTCTCGTTGGTTTGGGTTTTCTTTGTTTCTTTTTCTTCTTTTCCGATTGATCCAGGGGTTGTGGCGATTTCAGCTACGTCCCTCGGCTGAAGCAATCTTCTCGTTGGTTTGGGTCCAAGTTGTCAAAGGATTAAAATCCACCAGCACTAGCGCGACGTTTTTTATTCACGAAAGTTCTGTACACTTAGAGTAATCCCATCCTCGTCGCCAATTACAATAACCGACCGCGTTGGTTTGTTTTTAAAAAGAGTTTTATTTTCAAAAAAACAATCACACAGAAAATTAAAGTAACTACGAATTACAATTTCAACGAATTAAGATGTGGGTTATTAAGAAGTTGATTAATAACTGAATAAACAATAGATTTGTACGTGCTTTTATACTTTTTAACGTTTATCTCTTCTTCTGGTTTCGGATTACAGCCACTTGTTGGTGTCATCCTATCTACGCGTCTGGAAACAATATTCTACGTCCCCATCTTTAAAACTTTCCTATATTTTCCTATATTCTTGCCATTTTCATCCTTAGTAAAGTCTCCTCTTCTGTTTACACTTAGGTTTTTGAATTTACAAGGCGTCTCTTCTTTTCTTTTTCTATGTCGTCCAGGAATCTATCCGAAACTGTACGTTTATTATTCCTGCCAGCTTCTTCATCCACTATCTTCCTCTGGTCGTTTGCTTCATCCTTTACAATTATTTTGTTGTATAGTAAATGAGCTTTAACTCCTTTCCTCCGGAGTTCCCTTAAAGGTTCAGTCATCAAATCATATCTCTCTCTCTGAATTTTCTTAGAGTAGTCCTTCTCTTACCATATGTTCGTTCCTTCAACTCTTTATCGTTTTTTAGGATATAAATCCCTCTGCCTTCCTTTGTTAGTTTTACTAATATCGGCCTATTGTTGTTTTCTTTATATGCTTTCCATTCTACTTGTGATATCAATATCATTTGTTAACATTCTCTCTCTTTTCGAAACTCTCACATCATTTCTTCTTTAATTCTCTTTATTAGCACATTTTTATGTCTTACCTCTCTTTCCAGCATATCTATACGTTTATCTTGTTCCACAATCTTAGAAAGTTCTTCATTTTCCTTTTTCTATCAATTTATATCCCTTCTGATGTCGGTTAGGTGTTATAATAATAATAATAAACAATATTTATTGGTTCAGATAATAACAGTAAATACACTGGATATATACAATTTATATACAATTCACCAATCAATGGTGTAAGCCTACTGTTTTTCATCAATCCTCAAATTAAATTATATACTACTAAAACTAAACGACACAATACGATGTACGTCGCAGAATCAAAACAAAAAGAAAAAGAGAGAAAAAAGAACAAAACCAAAATGAAATGAGTTGAGAAAAAAATAAAATATAATATAATGTATAACTAAAATAAAAGTAAAACAAATTCCTTACATATAATATAAATTATAGTATAATAATTATAATATAAATTTGTAGAAAGAAAACAAATAGAAAAAGAAAAGAAAGGGCAGCGAAGGAAGACAGAGAGAATAGAAGAGAATAGAGAATAAGAAAAAAGAAAAGAAAAAAGAAAGAAAGGGGGAAAGGAACCGGCGCTATTCCGTCTACTCAAAACCATTTTGTTGGTTAAGCAAAAGTTTCTTTACCTCTATCTTGAATCTTTTACAAGATAAACGTTTTAAAGAATCCGGCAGAGGGTTGTACATGTTAGGCACACAATAAGAGAACGATCTTTTATAAATTTCATAATTGTGCTTTGGTATTGTTAAAGCATGCCGATGCCTAACATTGACATTGTGAACATCAGTTCTGTAGCGTATCTTATTATATAGGTAAGGTGGACTCTTAAACATAATGACTCTATGATACAAGCATAACGAGTGAAGAACTCTTCTACGAGCCATGTTCAACCAACCCACCCAACCAAGCGAGTGAGATATATGCTCCCATCTTTTTATTCCGTAAATAAATCGCAAACATGAATTTTGTAACTTTTGAATTTTATAAGTGGTTATACTGTCCAAACAAGAATAATATATAGGAGCTCCGTAATTAAATATAGAGAGCACTAACGTGTCACATAATTGAATTTTTAGTTTAGTGCTTAAAATGTGCTTATTAGAATATAACAGTTTTAAAGTGGAATATGCTCTTTGTAGTAGGGAGCCAGCATGCTTCCTAAATCTCAGATCCTCCTCAATGATCATACCCAGATTCTTCGCACTGTCTCCAAAAGTCAGTGTGTGTCCGTCAATTATAATATTAAGGTTAGATTTGACATACCGGACTGCACTCGAAGCACCGAAAACCATCACGAATGACTTAGAGCCATTAACACTAAGATTAAGCTTTTTTGCAAGTTGAATTAAGTTTCCTACGTCGATATTTATATTTCTTTCCGCATTTAACAAGTCAGTTAGTTCAAAAGAACAGCGTAATTGTGTGTCATCCGCATACATATATGGCGTACAGTATTTTAACACATTAGCTAGTTCGCATGTATAAATCAAATATAATAGTGGTCCCAGAATAGAGCCTTGTGGTACTCCAGAAATTATATTTACTGCAGAAGATTGAGCATTATGGAAAGTAACAATTTGCGAGCGGTCGGCAAGAAAACTTTCAAGAAGTTTGAGAGCCGCATTGGAAAGCCCAATATAGTGCAAGATAGCTAGCAAGGTTTTGTGGTTTAAACGGTCAAAAGCCTTAGAAAAATCTAAAAGAATGAGGACTGAGACCTTTTTATTATCAATAGCTCCAAAAATGTCATCCGTCACGTCCAGCAGCGCGGTGGTACAGCTAAATCCCGGTCGGAATCCAGATTGGAAAACAGGTAAAATATCAAACCTTTCCAAATGCTTACGTAATCTAAGAGCAATGATCCTCTCAAGAATCTTGGAGAGGACAGGTAAGATACTTATAGGACGCAGATCGGCCAACTGTGCAGGATTCTTAGTTTTCGGGATTGGGATAACAAGTGCACATTTCCAAGCATTGGGAAACACAGAGTCTTCAAGACAACAATTGATAATGTGGCAAATATAAGGTAGTACATGTGGACAACAAAGCAAGATCATCCTAAGACCAATTCCATCCACACCAATAGCGTTGGTTTTGAATGTAGATATTATTTGGGATATTTCCTCTGTAGAAGTCAAGGTAAAATAAAGTTTTTCTGAAATTTGAGGTAGACAGGTATTTTCATAATTGTTTATTAGAGAAGGATCGCCAACTTCATCACATTGGGTAGACAAGAAAAAGTCATTAATCTGATCCGCATCACCAATACTAGCGGGGACAGAATGTTCCTTTATGTCTCTGAATATATTTTAAATTTTTTCCATATCTGACATAATTCGTCTAAAGCCTCGTCAACCGATCGGAACTGGTAGAGATTTTGCACCCGGAGTCCTCTCTTATTATTACAAAAAAATAATATTTTGTCAGAAATTTTAATATGGAATTAGGCTAATCTAATCAATTTATAAATAAAAATTCTAATATTCCTTAAAAGTAGGAAGTAGGTAAGTAACCTTCCTCAAAAAATATTGACTTTAAGAAAATGATACTATCCCATCAATTTTCGTTAATGTTTAATTTGTCAGCACCAAAACGAAAAGAAAAATAAAGTAATGTTTCTTAGAAACGTCTTTAAACTTTTGAATCCAACTTTCTCTCTCGTTTCTCCCTCTTAAAACAATTGTTGGGTTTTTTAGAGTTGCGCCTTACGCTCGATCCGAGTTCGAGTTGCGTTCGCTCAGTTTGCCGTTGGTTTTTGTTCGCGTCGGACTCGTGACTGAAATCAATAAGCATAGAAAAAAATTGTACGTATTCGTCCGAGTCAACGATCTCTCAAAGACCTCTTGACCATTCTCAAATTAAACCTGAAAGTTTGAATATTACCGTGGAAAAATGAAGAATAAGTTTAAAAATGAAGTTGAAAATTGTTTAATTATTTTGTTTATTAGTTAATTTTGTGAGTTATAACAAAAACTTGTGTAAATTTAAGTTTCGTTTGAGATAAACTTGGAATAAGAAAGGTAATTAATATATGTGTATTAAAAAATAATTATAAACATTTGAGTACAAATGTACTTAGTTTTTAAGAAAACAACACCTAAATTTAGTAATTAATCACCGTTTTGATAACCTTTTTGGTGACTTTTTGGTAAATAAAATTTGGAAAAAAAATGTAAAGCTGACCCCTTTATTTCATAGAAATTCAAATCATAAGTTTCATTACAGAAATGATTCTCTTACAACATTAATTAATTTAAGAAAAGAAAATCAAGGCCTTTCATTTCCATTATTCAGAAAGTACATTTAAATTTCTAATTTATTTGAATCGAAATTTAAATATAAACTGTTTCAAGAAACTAGCTCGTCAAGATCGTAAAATAAAATATTTTTATATTTGGAATAAAAAAATAGGAATTTCTGTAAGGCTGTTTCTTGTACGAATGAGAGTGTACACATTTAAAACACCTTCAAGATATCACATAGCACACGTCAAACGGTTTAAAATTTACAGCATTCCAACCTAAGACGCCGTTTTATGGTTTTGTTTACATCAAGAAATAAACAATTAAAATCACAAGAAAAATCTTACAAAGAGAAATTATACATTTCCAAAAAATATATGTATAATAAGATAAATTTTTACATTTCAAGTGCCCCAGGACTTTTACTTTATCAAAAACGCCAAAATATATTATTGAGAAATGCCCGCGATAAATAAATTCGACTCGAAAGATTATAATCGAGATAAGTTTGCAAAAAAAATAACAATGGACCGTGTTATTATCTATATCTATCTGTTGTTATCTCGCGTATTTGTTTTCTAATAATTATTTATCATTATAGGTACCCTTTGTTTTATTTTTTTAATCGTATGATTTGTTTAGAAAACACATTTCAATTTAGGTTCTCTTTATTAATATTTATCAAACATCCTTTCCAATTGAAAATAAACGAACTGTGGTTTACTATAAATTGTTATGTTTTTCGGTATAAAATACACGATCTTGAAATAAAACCACACAATTTAAGAGCATGAACGTATTTTAAATGCTTAACACAAATTCTTCTTTTCTAAATAATCTTTTTCTAAGTAAAATCATTCAAAGAACCATTTCACTTCTAAATCAATAATCCTTCGCGTGTTACCATTTTATCGAAATTATTTTCTGAATTGTAATGTTTGAATCGATTTTACACGATTCTGACCTTGTTTGGTAATGCGTAAAAAGAGAAAGTTGTGTATACGCGTATATTCACAATGGGTTTGTTTATTTGTTGATTTATTTGCTTGGGCTGTCTGATTGATTTGGCATTAGTCATCAATAAGAAGCAATTTTTGAAAATAGTAGCGTACAAGTGTAAGCAATTTCTATTTTTGGAACTGGAACGTCGTCGGTAGTGGTTTTGTTTACGTTACTGGTGGGTTTAATTTTGGTTTACGAGATCACATGAGTCCCCACTGGCAAAATGCTAATAGATAAAACATTTTCGAATTAAATACTATTTATTTATTATTCATTTTAGTTAATGTGTTGCACGAAATCGTAGCTTCCCATTTAATATGATGTACAACAACCAATTCCAAATCTAATACAGAGTTATTATTATCTTAAATTAACGCTTAAAGACTCTATTTTTAGATCATATATATAAATAATGGGATTAATGTCATTAATTTCCAGAAAAAGAATTTTATTGGAAAACTTGTGAACATTTAAAACATTCACAACGATATTATTTTGAGGAGTGAAAATGTGATTCATATCTTAAACTAAAGCTGTACTCTATTTTTGAATAATATCAACAAATAATGGTAACAAGTTGCCGAAAATGAGTCTTATATGAAAATCTGATAGTTTGCGTCATGTCAGAAAAAGTTAAAATTTAAATACATCATGTTGACCCTATTTTAGAAATAGAAATGTGACTCATATTTTCAATTAAAGCTAAGAGATTCCATTTTGGATAACGTATAGTAATAATGGGATTTGATAACAACAATTTCCAGAAAAACCTGTTATTTCCGCTCTGCTAAATAGTACAAATTGAAAAAATTCACATTGACCTTATTTTGTAGAGTTAATATGTGATTTATATCTTGAATTAAAGCTAAAAAACTCTGTTCTTGGATCATTTCGATAAATAATGGGATTTATTAGGAACAATTTGCAGAAAAAAAGTCTTATATGAAAATCTGTTAGTTTGCGTCATGTCAGAAGAAGTTTAAATTTCAATAAACCATGTTGACCTTATTTTTAGAAATTGAAATGTGACATATTTTCAATTAAAGCTAAGATATTCTATTGTGGATAACATATAGTAATAATGAGATTTGATAACAACAATTTCCAAAAAAACCTATTATTTCTGCAATTCCAAATAGTACAAATTGAAAAAATTCACATTGACCTTATTTTGCGGAGATGGTATGTGATTTATATCTTAAATTAAAGCTAAAAAAACTCTATTTTTGGATCATTTCGAGAAACAATGGGATTTATTAGGAACAATTTGCAGAAAGAGAGTCTTATATGAAAATCTGCTAGTTTGCGTCATGTCAAAAAAAGTCTTAATTTAAATAAATCATGTTGACCTTATTTTTAGAAATTGAAACGAGACTTATATTTGCAATTAAAGCTAAGAGCTTCTATTTTAGATAACGTATAGTAATAATAGGATTTGATAACAACAATTTCCAGAAAAATCTATTATTTCTGCAATTCCAAATAGTACAAATTGAAAAAAATCACATTAACCTTATTTTGTGGAGTTGATATATGATTTATATCTTAAATTAAAGCTAAAAAACTCTATTTTTTTATCATTTCGAGAAATAATGGGATTTCTTGTGAACAAGTTGCAGAAAAATACTCTTATATGAAAATCTGTTAGTTTGCGTCATGTCAGAAAAAGTCTAAATTTAAATAAATTATGTTGATTTTATTTTTAGAAATACAAACGTGACTTATATTTTCAATTAAAGCTAAGAGATTCTATTTTGAATAACGTATAGTAATAATGGGATTTGATAACAACAATTTCCAGAAAACCCTGGTATTTCCGCAATGCCAAATAGTACAAATTGAAAAAATTCACATTGACTTTATTTTGTGGAGTTGGTATATGATTTATATCTTAAATTAAAGCTAAAAAACTCTGTTTTTGGGTCATTTCGAGAAATAATGGAATTTGTTATGAACAAGTTGCAGAAAAATACTCTTATATGAAAATCTGTTAGTTTGCGTCATGTCAGAAAAAGTCTAAATTTAAATAAATCATGTTGATTTTATTTTTAGAAATAGAAACGTGACTTATATTTTCAATTAAAGCTAAGAGATTCTATTTTGGATAACGTATAGTAATAATGGGATTTGATAACAACAATTTCCAGAAAACCCTGGTATTTCCGCAATGCCAAATAGTACAAATTAAAAAAATTCACATTGACTTTATTTTGTGGAGTTGGTATATGATTTATATCTTAAATTAAAGCTACAAAACGCTATTTTTGGGTCATTTCGAAAAATAATGGGATTTCTTGTGAATAAGTTGCAGAAAAAGACTCTTATATGAAAATCTGTTAGTTTGCGTCATGGCAGAATAGGTAAAAATTTAAATAAATCATATTGACCTTATTTTTAGAAATTGAAACGAGACTTGCATTTTCAATTAAAGCTAAGAGATTCCATTTTGGATAACGTATAGCAAAAATGGGATTTGATAACAACAATTTCCAGAAGAACCTATTATTTCTGCAATTCCAAATAGTACAAATTAAAAAAAATCACATTGACCTTATTTTGTGGAGTTAGTATATGATTTATATCTTAAATTAAAGCTAAAAAAAACTCTATTTTTGGATCATTTGGAGAAACAATGGGATTTATTATGAACAATTTGCAGAAAAAGAGTCTTATATGAAAATCTGTTAGTTTGCGTCATGTCAGAAAAAGTATAAATTTAAATAAATCATGTGGACCTTATTTTTAGAAATTGAAACGAGACTTATATTTGCAATAAAAGCTAAGAGATTCTATTTTGGATAACGTATAGTAATAATAGGATTTGATAACAACAATTTCCAGAAAAACTTATTATTTCTGCAATTCCAAATAGTACAAATTGAAAAAAATCACATTGACCTTATTTTGTGGAGTTAGTATATGATTTATATCTTAAATTAAAGCTAAAAAAACTCTATTTTTGGATCATTTCGAGAAACAATGGGATTTATTAGGAACAATTTGCAGAAAAAGTGTCTTATATGAAAATCTGTTAGTTTGCGTCATCTCGGAAAAAGTCAAAACTTAAATAAATCATGTTGACCTTATTTTTAGAAATTGAAATGTGACTTATATTTTCAATTAAAGCTAAGAGATTCTATTGTGGATAACGTATAGCAATAATGGGATTTGATAACAACAATTTCCAGAAAAACCTATTATTTCTGCAATTCCAAATAGTACAAATTGAAAAAAATCACATTGACCTTATTTTGTGGAGTTGGTATATGATTTATATCTTAAATTAAAGCTAAAAAACTCTATTTTTTGATCATTTCGAGAAACAATGATATTTATTATGAACAATTTGCAAAAAAAGAGTCTTATATGAAAATCTGTTAGTCTGCGTCATGGCAGAATAGGTCAAAATTTAAATAGATCATAATGACCTTATTTCAAGGAATTGAAAAGAGACTTATATCTTCCCTTATGCTAAGAGGTCATATTTAAGATAATGGATACACATAATGGGATTTGATCTCAACAATTTCCAGAATAACCATTTTATAGACTCTATTNCTACAAAACGCTATTTTTGGGTCATTTCGAAAAATAATGGGATTTCTTGTGAATAAGTTGCAGAAAAAGACTCTTATATGAAAATCTGTTAGTTTGCGTCATGGCAGAATAGGTAAAAATTTAAATAAATCATATTGACCTTATTTTTAGAAATTGAAACGAGACTTGCATTTTCAATTAAAGCTAAGAGATTCCATTTTGGATAACGTATAGCAAAA